GTCTATGAATGTAAACAAATATAATTTGGTAATTACCCGACGAATATCTGGGTATTGTGTTAAAAGGTGCTCCACATATTTTACTTATCATTATTTACAGGCCTCCAAAATACTCTCCAGCCTTTGCTGAGGACTTTACAGGGAAAAAAAAGAGTTTGACTGTTTTGCCATTGCTGGAGATTTTAACATTAACATTAGATAATGCAGAAAACAATATGGCAAAAGAAATCAAACTGTTTTAAAAACTTTTGATCTGACTCAAAATGTACATGGTCCGACAAACAATCGTGGACACACTCTAGATTTACTTATCAGTAAGGGTTTAAACATCTCATCGATTGTTATTAAGGATGTAGCACTGTCTGATCATTTCTGCATTTTCTTTGATATACTGATCTCTCCTGCCATTGAAGCTAGATCTTTGTCTGTCAAGAAGAGATGCATAAATGAGAACACTAAAACATAACTGCTATTTATGAAGGCTATATCTTTAACACCAAGCATATCTGCTGACTCTGTTGATTTTCTCCTTGATTCTTTTAACTCAAAAGTTAAAAGTGTAATTGATGATATTGCTCCTGTGAAAGTTGGGAAGAATAGTGGTGGACAAAAAGCACCTTGGAGAAACTCAACAGCTCTGCAAAATATGAAAAGACAATGCAGAAGGGCAGAGCGCATGTGGCAGAAGACAAAACTTGTAGTCCATTATACCATCTACAAAGACAGCATCCATGCTTTCAATGTGGAACTAGGCAAAGCTAGACAGACTTTCTTCTCGAATATTATAAACAGCAACTTAAACAACACACGCACTCTTTTTGCTACTGTAGAGAGACTGACAAACCCCTCAAGCCAGATTCCCAGTGAAATGCTCTCAGGCTATGTTTACACGGAAACGATCTGAAGAGAAAACGCAAAAGTGGCGTTGCGTTATCACTTTTTATTCTGCGTTTAGACGAGCGTTATGGTTGGGAAATCCGCGTGCATATGGTGACGCAAAAGTGTGTGAAATTCGATGTAGTATGCACTCCAGGCGGCTAGGTGGCAATGTGAAGCACTGCCACACAACAACAACAATATCTTAGAATATTTTGTACAACTGCTGAAAAAACTCTCGTATGTTTTTCAGAGCTGTTAGGGCAACTTGAAGGTCCGACGTATGGAGATAATCTGACATGTTGGTTGTTATTTTCCTGTACTGGCGCATGCATGTGACGTAAACGCGTACGCGACGAGAGCCACCGTGAGCAGATTGGGTTTAGATGGGAACACGACGGTGGAGCGTTTTTAAGATTTCCACTCTGGAGGGTGGTTTCACTTTTTTGCGTTTTTAAGCCCCCAAAACGCCGTTGCTGTGTAAACGAAAGGCACATCCGATAAAATATTTTTACGTTTTCACCCGGAATCGTTCTCGTGTAAACGGGGCCTCAGACAGCAAGTGCAGTGAGTTTGCTTCTTTCTTCTCTGAGAAAATCAATAATATCAGAAAGGTGATCAGCACATCCTTTAGTTGCTCTGGGGTCAGACAGATCAGACCACTTCCTGAGAAAGTAGTTACTATGTCTGTTTTCGAAGAAATTGAAGGCAAAATTTTGGAAGAAACCGTATAGTACCTTAAAACATCAACCTGTGCCCTTGACGCACTTCCCACATCTTTTTTCAAAAGTGTGTTAAACAGCTTAGAAGCAGATCTCCTAGAAGTGGTAAATGCCTCACTTCTCTCTGGGAGTTTTCCAAACTCCCTGAAAACTGCAGTTGTCAAGCCCCTCCTGAAAAAGAGCAATCTGGATAAGACCATCTTAAGCAACTATAGACCGTTCTCAAATCTTCCTTTTATAGGCGAGATCATTGAAAAAGTTGTCTTCAATCAGCTGAACAAATTCTTAAGCTTGAATGGATACTTTGACAATTTTCAATCTGGTTTCCGATCGCATCACAGCAACAGAGACAGCTCTCATAAAGATAATAAACGATATTCGCTTAAATACTGATACAGGCAAATTATCAGTGCTGGTACTACTCGACCTCAGTGCTGCATTTGACACTGTCGATCACGACATACTTCTTGACAGGCTGGAAAACTGGGTGGGGCTTTCTGGGATAGTCCTAAAATGGTTCAGGTCATACTTAGAAGGGAGAGGTTATTATGTGAGTATAGGAGACCATAAGTCTGAGTGGACATCCATGACATGCGGAGTCCCTCAAGGCTCAATTCTTGCGCCACTCCTATTCAACCTGTATATGCTCCCAATGAGCCAAATAATGAGAAAGAACCGAATCTCTTACCACAGCTATGCAGACGACACACAGCTCTACTTAGCCCTATCGCCTAACGACTACAGCCCCATTGACTCCCTGTGCCAATGCATTGATGAAGTCAACAGTTGGATGTGCCAAAACTTTCTTCAGTTAAACAAAGGCAAAACTGAAGTCATTGCGTTTGGAAACAAAGATGAAGTTCTCAAGGTGAATGCATACCTTGACGCTAGGGGTCTAACAACTAAAAATCAAGTCAGGAATCTTGGTGTGTCTCTAGAGTCAGACCTTAGTTTCAGTAGTCATGTCAAATCAATAACTAAATCAGCATACTATCATCTGAAAAATATTGCAAGAATTAGATGCTTTGTTTCCAGTCAAGACTTAGAGAAACTTGTGCATGCTTTTATCACCAGCAGGGTGGATTATTGTAATGGACTCCTCACTGGCCTTCCTAAAAAGACCATAAGACAGTTGCAGCTCATACAGAACGCTGCTGCCAGGATTCTGAGCAGAACCAGAAAATATGAACACATCACACCAGTCCTCAGGTCTTTACACTGGCTCCCAGTTACATTTAGGATGGATTTTAAAGTATTATTACTGGTATATAAATCATTTAATGGTCTAGGACCTCAACATATTGCAGATATGCTCACCGAATATAAACCTAACAGATCACTCAGATCATTAGGATCACATCAGCTAGAAATACCAAGGGTTCACTCTAAGCAAGGAGAGTCTGCTTTTAGCTATTATGCCAGCCGCAGCTGGAACCAGCTTCCAGAAGAGATCAGATGTGCTCCTACAGTAGTCACTTTCAAATCCAGACTCAAAACACATCTGTTTAGCTGTGCATTTACTGAATGAGCACTGTGCCACTGTTCGTCCGACTGTTTTTACTGTACTTTATTTTATTCTTTATTCTAAACTGTTTTAATTATTCTTATTTGTTTTGATTATTTTAATTTCTACTATGTAAAGCACTTTGAATTACCATTGTGTATGAAATGTGCTATATAAATAAACTCGCCTTGCCTTGCCTATACAGTAATCTTTTAAACAAAAGTGCATTGAACAATTGCAACTTTTGGTTAAATATTGAGGCAAGATACTCTTGTTTCATGTAGTGGTGCTTGTTATCCTCTTGTTCCATGTAGTTACAGGGTAAGTACAATAAAAATACATACACACAATCATATATCACTGACTCGGAAACCTTTATTTGAAAAACAACTTAATTCAAAACAGATTTACAACTCTTCTTTTTCGTTTAAAACTGCTTTTTTAATCAACAATTAATTTCAAATGCTTAAGTCTTGACAGAAATAGGACGTTTTGTCCCCCCTTTTTACTCTTTCTTGGCTTCTTCCTTTTGTTCCTCTTCTTTTTCTTTCTTTCCACTGATGAATCTGAAGAAATCATGTCTCTTGCTAATCTGTATTATGTATTAAAAGAAAATGCAGTACACCCAGAAATACATCCCCACCATTTACTCATCTTTTACCCTCATGCCATCCAAGATATACGACTTTCCTTCTTCAGATTAACACAAATGAAGGTTTTGAGAAAAATAAAAAATACATATCTGAGAATACATATAATGCAAGCTCATGTGTTTCTAAAAGTTGGAGCATCAAACAGGACATACTGCAATAACTAGTAATCCATACGACCCGAATGGGTGGATCAATGTCTTTTGAAGTGAAACGATAAGTGTTTGTAAGAAAAATTACAATATTTTAAACTTTTTAATCTCTTCAGACTAACTGTATTAAGTTGTTTTTCAAATAAAGGTTTCCGAGTCAGTGACATAAGGTTGTGTGTATGTATTTTTATTGTACTTACCCAGTAACTACATGGAACAAGAGGGTAACAAACACCACTTTAATTTACAGCCTGCAAAGTCACACTTACCCTGTAACTACATGGAGCAAGAGTATATTCCCAGTATTTTAAAAAAATTGCAATAGTATTAGCTTTACTTGCCTTGAAACATGTAAGCCCAAACTTAAACATCTGCACTTTTACTATATAAAAAAAAAACTGTATAAATGTATAGATAGCCTATGTACCGGTACACAATTATTACAAAAAGGTACGCAGTGTATGTTCTTGCCAAATTGCTCCCAAATGTAAGATTGTTATGTCATAATAGTAGAATAAGAACCCCTTAGTTCTATAATACTTACAGTATACATTTTTTTTTATTTCTCCTGGTTGTTACCCCTTTATCCCCCAACGTTTACATATTGTTCCCTTATACTTACATGTAAGTACTTTATAGGTACACAATAATTACCAAAAGTTATGCTGTAAATTCGTCTTAATTACACAGTACTTTCCGGGCTGTAATCTAAAGTGTGCGTTACCCAAACTGCTTATTGACCTTGATCTATATATTCCTACAGGACAAACAACACCAAATAGACGGAGTAACAGAGCGCTTACTGAAGGCCCAGAAGCTGGCGATGCTTTCTTCAACGGTACGCTATCATGTGTTTGAGCTAAAAATACTACAAAACAGAAGATCTTTGTCAATGCTTTTATTGATTGGAGAAATTAAAGTTAAAAAGAGGTTGAAATTAAGATTTACATAAAGGAGATGCTGTATGTTCCTGTTACACTTAAACTGTCATCAATCAAGTAGTTTCTCTTTTAAAAATAAGATTTCTGTAGTAAAGATGAATTCAGAAAATGTTTAAATGCATGTTCAATCAAAGAACTTGTGAGCAGAACGACTTTTAATAAAGACTTCTAGCACAGATAAAAGCATGTTTGGCTGCTTTGCCATCGTCATTCCAGCAGTGGTTATCTAGGATAAAATAAACAATATTTTTTTCAGAATCAAAGACACTTTTATTAATGCAATTAACTTTATATTTAAATAGTTTGAAGAAATCTGTTATATTCATACCAAAGTTTATTTCCAGAGCGATCTCATTATAATTGTTATAATTGTCAGGTTGTCCAGTGCACCAGTAGTTGTAATCAAACACAGATCCATCAGTCCACATCCACTGTCCTTCCTAAAGAGTGAAAGGAGTGGTTATCTCTGTTCTGAAACTCATTTCACAAGTTCATTCATTGTTTACACACTCAATTATTGCAATTTATTAACTTTTTTCATTTATTTGTGCCCAAATTCATATTGCATCCATCTTACAGGGCTTTTTGAGCCAGATAATAAAAACATGTGAATTACTTTGAATCGGCATTAAAACAAATGTTAGGCAAAGTTAGCAGCTACGCTCGTCACAGTTGCTTATTTCATTATGAAATGTACCAACTGAACTAACCCACAAAAAATATGTTGAACGTGTGCATGAATGATCTGAATCTATGGCACAAACACTAAAAGCTCCAATCTCCTACTCTGACTTCAATCTCCTACTCTGACTTCAATCTCCTACTCTGACTTCTTCTACTCTGACTTCAATCTCCTACTCTGACTTCAATCTCCTACTCTGACTTCAATCTTCTACTCTGACTTCAATCTCCTACTCTGACTTCAATCTTCTACTCTGACTTCAATCTCCTACTCTGACTTCAATCTCCTACTCTGACTTCAATCTCCTACTCTGACTTCAATCTTCTACTCTGACTTCAATCTCCCACTCTGACTTCAATCTCCTACTCTGACTTCTTCTACTCTGACTTCAATCTCCCACTCTGACTTCAATCTCCTACTCTGACTTCAATCTCCTACTCTGACTTCAATCTCCTACTCTGACTTCAATCTCCTACTCTGACTTCAATCTCCTACTCTGACTTCAATCTTCCACTCTGACTTCAATCTCCTACTCTGACTTCAATCTCCTACTCTGACTTCAATCTCCTACTCTGACTTCAATCTCCTACTCTGACTTCAATCTTCTACTCTGACTTCAATCTTCTACTCTGACTTCAATCTCCCACTCTGACTTCAATCTCCTACTCTGACTTCAATCTTCTACTCTGACTTCAATCTCCTACTCTGACTTCAATCTCCTACTCTGACTTCAATCTTCTACTCTGACTTCAATCTCCCACTCTGACTTCAATCTCCCACTCTGACTTCAATCTCCTACTCTGACTTCAATCTCCCACTCTGACTTCAATCTTCTACTCTGACTTCAATCTTCTACTCTGACTTCAATCTCCCACTCTGACTTCAATCTCCTACTCTGACTTCAATCTTCTACTCTGACTTCAATCTCCTACTCTGACTTCAATCTCCTACTCTGACTTCAATCTTCTACTCTGACTTCAATCTCCCACTCTGACTTCAATCTCCCACTCTGACTTCAATCTTCTACTCTGACTTCAATCTCCCACTCTGACTTCAATCTCCTACTCTGACTTCAATCTCCCACTCTGACTTCAATCTCCTACTCTGACTTCAATCTTCTACTCTGACTTCAATCTCCCACTCTGACTTCAATCTCCTACTCTGACTTCTTCTACTCTGACTTCAATCTTCCACTCTGACTTCAATCTCCTACTCTGACTTCAATCTCCTACTTCAATCTCCTACTCTGACTTCAATCTCCTACTCTGACTTCAATCTCCTACTCTGACTTCTTCTACTCTGACTTCAATCTCCTACTCTGACTTCTTCTACTCTGACTTCAATCTCCTACTCTGACTTCTTCTACTCTGACTTCAATCTCCTACTCTGACTTCTTCTACTCTGACTTCAATCTTCTACTCTGACTACTCTGACTTCAATCTCCTACTCTGACTTCTTCTACTCTGACTTCAATCTTCTACTCTGACTTCAATCTCCTACTCTGACTTCTTCTACTCTGACTTCAATCTCCTACTCTGACTTCTTCTACTCTGACTTCAATCTCCTACTCTGACTTCTTCTACTCTTACTTCAATCTCCTACTCTGACTTCTTCTACTCTGACTTCAATCTCCTACTCTGACTACTCTGACTTCAATCTCCTACTCTGACTTCTTCTACTCTGACTTCAATCTTCTACTCTGACTTCAATCTTCTACTCTGACTTCAAGCTCATTAGATTAGATTAGATTCAACTTTATTGTCATTACACAAGTACAGGTACAAGGCAACGAAATGCAGTTTGGGTCTAACCAGAAGTGCAATAGCAGCAAGTGCAGGATATACAGTGGTTTCATAAGTGCAGTACATGGATATGTACTGAATAAATATAGAGTTGAATACTATTATAAACAGAATTTTTCAGATAGATTAGTCCTATGAATATAATATACAGATAACTCTTATTGTAAACAGAATTTACAGCTAGATATGTACTGAATATAATATACAGATGGCTATTACTATAAACAGAATTTTTACAGATATGTACAATGAACTAAAATGGCTAAAAATGGCTAATTTTAGCTCAATGGCTAAAATGAGCAGTATAACAATGGATTTAAAGTAGTGCAAATTAAGTTTGGACAGAAGCTATCCGAGTAAAAGTGCAGTGGAGAGTAATTGCATATTACAGTTGAGGTACGGTATTGCAAATGTATATGTAAACATTTGGTACTGTAAATAAACAGTCGGCAGTGCAAATTTATATTCCAGTCAGGTAAGTAGTGCAAGATACATATGTAAACAGTTGTTACTTTAATAATAGTCAGCAGTGCAAATGAACATTATAGCACATGTGATTGCCACTGACTCGCCGTGTGGAACAGTCTGTTGTGTAACAAGGGCAGGGGCTCTCAACATCCCAAGTGTCCAAACAACTACACATACGCCTGCCCTAAGCTATTTCATGTCACAATCAAGCGGCAACCTTCCAGTCTCTCTCTTGAATCCAACACAGAAGTGACTTAAACAGCAGTTCATCCACTGGCCACTAGAGACCGGCTGCAGAAGGGATAGACCCGCATGTTAAAATGCCCAACTTTACAGCAGAAAAAAACATGTTACAGTCTGGTGCAAAAAGTGGTTTTGGTCTATATTGCTAATTTTGCCCTTCATGACGACTGTGACGGGGGTGAATTTTTTTTATAACTCATCAGTTTGAATTATATTAAGCCCTAAAGTTCTACATAATTAAGGGCGTGGCCTCTTGAGTGACAGGTGGATTGCCGTTGATGTCACTACTAGCCATTTGTCTGCTGTCTGTTAGCGTCACGTCTCCTCAGCTAATCCGCCTCTCTGCACACTGTCGGTTATCCGGGAGTGACGCTGCCAAGATGGCGACGGCCGGCTCCGCCCACTTTGGGCTTCAAAAGCGCTCTTCAGAAACACTACCGGTGACGTCACAGACACTACGCACATATGTTTTTACAGTCTATGGTCACAATATATAAAGTCAATTTACGGAAATGCAAACGCAACTTTAAGAAAATGTAAAAATAATTAAACAAATGTTTTTTCATCTGCATAACCACTTACTTTTACAGCATCATGACCACCAATCCAAGTTCGTGTCGCACCAGGCACCATGTTCAGCAGAAGATCGTTTTCAGATCTACTGTGCACCGATACGAGATTCCCACCAAAAGTTTGACAGTACTTCTGAAAAGGCAGATTATTTTTTAAATAATCATTAATCAAAACTATTTGTTTTAGTATTTTGTAACATTATTAATGGTAAATTAAGTATTTCTCAGCATTACAGATGTGGGTAACACTTTATAATAATGTTCAGTTGTAAGTCATTTATAAGTGGTTAGTTAATGATGAACTAATCATTTACAAAACATGACTATGCATTTCATAAATGTTTAATAAATGATGTTACATTTTTCTGTATGTTTTGCTCACATCAGGTGTACAGTGGTTAAACTGTACATGTGTGTCAGAGAAGGTTATACCCTCACCAGTCAGCACTTACACTGCAGTGCACACTACACCTGTTATAGATGATGTGTAAACGCAGGAGTGAATCATTTACAGCACTTTCTGCTTCCCCTAATCTAAAGTGTAAACTAATCATCACTTGTAAATGTGTGACATAACATTCATAGATCTTTCTTACCCGTTACAAATGATCTGTACGTGTATTCAAGGCGTTTACAACACTTTCTGCACCCTCTAATTGCTACATACATACAAACAAATGCAACATAATTGATAAAAATGTAAAATGGAGCTCTATGGCGGTAGGCGATGGTGTTTTACTCCGGGCAGAACTGATGGAACGGCAGTTTCTTTCAGCTTTTCCCCTTCGTTTGGCCTAAAGCACTGTGTTCGTGGACTTCCCGTTTGAAACGTTGACTAAAAACACAGGTTTTTTGCTGCCGTTTACATGGTGACATGCAGGGCTCTCGCTCATGATGCATCACATGACCAGACGAGCCAATACATCTCTGCATGCGCAATTCAATACAACAACACATGTTTAAATTCTACAATCATTTAATTGAACTTATGAATAAGTTATTGTACCAGAATGTGGTGTGTTGCGAGTGGCTCATTATTGTGAAATAATACCCAAAGGAGGATCCTAACATTTCTTCAAAAACACTTATTTATTTGCGTTGCTTATTTAAGTTATACTACTTGTTATTTGAAGCTCATTTCACTAAACAACATATCTGAATATTTATTTGATGATCAGATTCTTCAAGTCAGATCAGATTCACTATCAAGAACTTTAGAAAAGAACAAATTTGTGTATATATTTGTTACATAACTATAATAGTGCTGCCAGTAGCACATTACCTCTGATGCCATCCAGTCAAGTGGTGTTGAGAAGAATTTGACACATTTCAGTCCAAATGCTGACCATCCAGTGGGACAGCCATCAGCTGTATGATATTCAAGAAACAGTGAGTATTTACATACACAATCATCGATTATGCTTAATAACCCAACAACATGTAGGTCATGTAAACACTTTAAATAGGGTTGCTATTGGGTAAATGTCATAAACTGTTTAAGTTACTCAAATAAGTACATAACTTCTTGGAAGAGTATAACATGTATTCTTTGCTCTCACTGTAATAACAATAATTATTTCAATAGTAACCTGCTGCGTCCCCCTGAGAGAAGGTCATGAGAAGAAGCAGAAGTGTCAGCTTTTCCATGGTTATCCTGGGAATGAATTGTTGAAGCAAATTCAAAGTCTTTCTGGTTCAGGTCTCAAAGGAAGCTCTCAGTGTCGAAGTTCCAGGTCTCAGAAGAAATAACTTTATTGAACAATTTATCTGTTTTCCTATCGCTAGGTACCCAATAGGCTTCCTTATATCTATCTTCCCTTTTTTGCCCCTCCTCGTGATATCGCTACTGTTATGATATGTCAAACATCTTGTATAACATGTTTTTCAGGACATCCAGTGCTTCCCTCTCCCTCTCCTACAGGACTTTGGCTACTTCTCCGCCTGTAACTCTCTGACCTGTTTCTCTGTCTGGAACATCAGCATATAAACTTTATACATGAGACAAAATAAATTCCCCAATACATCAGCAGCAAAGGTAAAATATGCCTGTGCATTGTGAATTTTTTTTTTACAAAGATACCAAGCAAGATCAAAGATATCTGAACTGCAAAAACAAAACAATAAATGCACTTAATCAGTATTTTAGGATTATTTTATAATAATAATAAATAAAAAAAGCTTAATGAGCTGCAATAAATATTAAGACATAAATGTAAATTATACATATTGTTTCACTGGCAGAATTTTATTCACTTAAAGAGATAGTTCAAATGAAAATTGTCATAATTTACTCACCCTTTTATTGTTCCTAAACTGTATGAATTTCTTTATTTCGTGATACTACAACAATAAGTCATTGGGGTCCAATTTTGTTTTAAACCGCACAGATTTCCATTCTATGAAACATTCCTCAAAATATCCTCTTTTGTGTTTCATGCAAAAAAGAAAATCAGACAGCTTTGGAACGGCATGAAGGTAAGAATATCATGACAGAATTTTCATGTACGGATTAACAATCTCATTTTTATGCTATAAACACGTGTCAAGATCTGTCAGTCTGTGAGGAAATAACAGCAGGATGCAGTATGCAAGTAAAAACTCAGTTTAATGGATAATTCAGACTGAAACAATGAAGCAGGCACAAGTCGGGGACAACACTCAGATGGACAGTGAAGCAGGGACGAGATGGCGATCCGGTGGTAAACAGGCGATGACGTGCTCGAGTGAATCCCAGGGAAAGTGAACATCCAGATGACACGAAGAACTGACGAACATCCAGACGAGGAACAGCAGACGAGGAACAGCAGACGAGGCACGAGCACAGGAAACACACCGGGGAACAACCACAACGATCTGACAACAAGCGAGAGAATTGCTGAGTATTTAAAGGGAACTGGAATGGATGACAGCTGGCGACACTAATCAGCACAATGAGTAACCACACCCACACAATACACTCACGCAGACACATCAGCGTGAGACAGCCGATTCATAAACCGTGACAGTACCCCTCCTCCTAAGAACGCCTCCTGGCGTTCTCAGACTCCCTTACCTGTCGATTGTAATCATCGATAAGGGAGTGATCCAGGATGTCTCTAGCCGGTACCCAACTTCTCTCCTCCGGACCGTAACCCTCCCAGTCCACCAAGTACTGAAATCCTCGTCCCCTCCGTCTCGAGTCCAGAATGCGGTTAACCGAATATGTGGGTTCCCCATCTACGAGTCGCGGCGGGGGGGGAACCGGGGCAGGCGGATTAATGTGAGAATGAAACACGGGTTTGATTTTAGACACATGGAAGGCGGGGTGAATTCTCCTGTACGCAGGAGGGAGTTTGAGTCGGACTGTCACCGGACTAATAATCTTGGTGACAGGAAACGGGACAATAAATTTAGGAGCTAACTTGTTAGACACGGAGCGGAGAGGAATATTCTTGGTAGAAAGCCACACTTTTTGACCCACGACGTAAACGGGAGGCTTTGACCGGTGGCGATCGGCCTTGGCCTTCATGCGCCTCCCTGCTTGGAGTAGAGTCTCACGGGCTCTAGTCCAAGTACGGTGGCACCTCTGGACGAATGCGTGAGCGGAGGGGACCGCGACCTCGGATTCCAGACTCGGAAAAATTGGTGGCTGGTAACCTAAACTACACTTAAATGGCGAGAGGCCCGTGGATGACACTGGTAATGAATTGTGGGCGTACTCCACCATAGAAAGCTGTTGGCTCCAGGACGACGGATTCTTGGCAACCAAACATCGCAACATTCTTTCGAGGTCCTGATTGGCTCGCTCAGACTGGCCATTACTCTGGGGATGATAGCCCGAGGACAGACTGACCGTGGCCCCCAGTAATTTACAAAATTCCTGCCAAAATCTGGATACGAATTGGGAACCCCTGTCAGAGACCACGTCCATCGGGAGGCCATGTAACCGAAAAACGTGATCTATGACAGTGACCGCTGTCTCCTTGGCTGAAGGTAATTTGGGCAAGGGAATGAAATGTGCCGCCTTCGAGAACCGGTCCACTACGGTTAAAACAACCGTCATGCCATTGGAAGGCGGGAGGGCGGTGACAAAATCTAGAGCGATGTGGGACCAGGGTCTCGAAGGGACAGACAGCGGTCGAAGTAACCCGTCTGGGGGTTGGTTAGATGTCTTACTAGTGGCACAGACTGAGCAAGCCAAAACAAAATCGTGAATGTCGCGAGCCATCAATGGCCACCAAAATCGTTGTTTAACTAGAAACCTGGTGCGAGTCACTCCTGGATGGCAAGCCACGTTGGAGCAATGACCCCATCTAATAACGTCGGACCGTAACCCCTCCGGAACAAATAATCGGCTCGGTGGACAACCAGGCGGAGGCGTTACCCCTTCTAAGGCTGTCTTGACCTTCGATTCGACCTCCCATACCAGACTGGAGATGACAACTTTCTCAGGTAAAATACACTCGGGAGTCACCGGGCGTTCGGATGGATCAAAAATACGAGATAAAGAGTCGGGTTTGATGTTTTTGGACCCGGGGCGGTACGAGAGAACAAAATCAAAACGACCGAAAAAAAGAGCTCACCGAGCCTGCCTGGAGTTGAGTCTTTTAGCAGATCTGATATATTCAAGATTCTTATGGTCGGTCCAAACGATAAAGGGAACCCCCGAACCCTCTAACCAATGACGCCACTCCTCCAACGCTAGTTTAACTGCCAACAACTCTCTATTACCAATGTCATAATTACGTTCGGCAGACGATAGTCGATGAGAAAGAAACGCGCAGGGATGCATCTTGTCGTCTGAGGAAGCGCGTTGTGAAAGCACTGCTCCTACTCCCACCTCTGACGCGTCGACCTCCACCACGAACTGACGTGTGGGATCAGGGGTGACAAGAATGGGAGCCGAAACGAAGCGACTTTTGAGGTTGTTGAACACTGCCTCGGTAGTGTCCGACCACCTGAACGTCGTTCGGGGGGAGGTCAAGGCAGTCAGAGGTGCGACTAGTTGGCTGAAATTACGAATGAAACGTCGGTAAAAATTGGCGAATCCCAGAAACCGCTGTAGGGCCTTACGGGAATCTGGACTTGGCCAATCTACCACAGCCTTAACCTTGTCAGGATCCATGCGCACTCCCTCAGAAGAGATGATGTACCCTAAGAAGGGAACAGACTGTGCGTGAAACGAGCATTTCTCCGCCTTGACAAAAAGCCCATTCTCTAACAACCTCTGGAGCACTCGCCTGACGTGTTGAACGTGTTCCTGGAGAGACGAAGAAAAAATCAATATGTCATCCAGGTAAACATATATGAACTGATCTACCATGTCTCTCAACACGTCATTCACGAGTGCTTGAAAAACCGCTGGGGAGTTGGAAAGCCCGAACGGCATAACCAAATATTCAAAGTGCCCCCTAGGGGTATTAAAAGCGGTTTTCCATTCATCCCCCTTCCTGATGCGAACCAAATGATATGCATTACGTAAGTCCAGTTTCGTGAAAATGGATGCTCCCTGCAACCTCTCGAAAGCTGAAGACATCAACGGCAAAGGGTAAGAGTTCTTTACCGTGATGTTATTCAGCTCTCGGTAATCAATGCAAGGTCGCAGAGAACCATCCTTCTTCCCAATGAAAAAGAACCCCGCCCCCGCAGGAGAAGAGGAAGGTTGGATGAACCCAGAGGCCAGAGAATCAGAAATATATTTCTCCATGGCCTCCCTCTCGGGAACAGAAAGAGAGTAAAGTTTGCCCTTAGGCGGAGATTTACCTGGCAGTAGATCTATCGCACAGTCATAGGAACGATGCGGAGGAAGAGAAGCAGCGCGAGACTTACTGAACACCTCCTTCAGGTCTTGGTACTCCGCGGGCACGTTAGACAAATCCGCTGCCTCACTCTGAAACATAGAACCAGACACAGAAGGACAGGCAGACACTAAACAAGACTCATGACAGTGGTTACTCCATGTGGAGACAGTGTTAGTGCACCAATCGATCCGGGGGTTGTGCCTGGAAAGCCACGGGTGTCCCAAAACCACTGGTGCAAGTGGTGAGTCCATGAGAAAAAATGAAATGAGTTCTGTGTGATTTCCAGAAGTGATTAGGGTAATGTCTTCAGTAGCATGTGTAATGAGGGGAAGTTCTTGACCATTGAGTGCGTTGACTGTAATCTGGTGCGAGAGAGGAGTGACGGGAATCTGAAGCTTAAGTGCAAGTTTGAAGTCCATGAAATTACCCTCCGCTCCCGAATCCAGTAGTGCGTTGGTGCAGTGCGTCGACTGTCGCCATCTCAGTCTTACCAGGAGGAGGGTTGATGATGGTGATGAGGTCTTCTCGGCGGAGATCCCACCCGATAGTAGCCTCATACTTACCACCGGGCTTGCTCTTTTACCGGGCAGGAGTGGATGAAGTGACCTGCCCGGCCACAGTAGAGACAGAGTCCCTGGGATCTCCGCCTCTCCCTCTCCTCCCGGGAAAGCCGAGCTCTCCCCACCTGCATGGGTTCGTGGTCGAATGCGGGGCTGACCGCGCTCGCACCACCGGGCTGGTGGTCTTCCGGGCTGGACTGGGAACGGCTGGGGCGCGTCAGTCTGGTCCAGAGGTGGGTAGTAACGAGTTACATTTACTCCGTTACATTTACTTGAGTAAGTTTTTGAAAAATATATACTTCTAGGAGTAGTTTTAAATCACTATACTTTTTACTTTTACTTGAGTAGATTTGTGAAGAAGAAACTGTACTCTTACTCCGCTACATTAGGCTACAATGAGCTCGTTACTTTTCTTTT